TTTTTTTTAAGATTTTAACAGAATTTTTAATGGATTTTAATTTTTTGAAAATTTCCAAATTTGTCCCAAATGGTGAAGGGTATTCAAAGTTCGGCCCGGGCGAACTTACAGCTTTGTTTCTTGTTATTATTATTTTATTTATTTATTATTATTATATTTTTTTTTGTTTTTTAATTTTTTTTATTTATTTATTTATCTATTTATCTATGTTTTATTTATTTATTTTTTATTTATTTATTTTTTATTTATTTTTTATTTTTTTTTTATTTTTTTTTTTTTGGCCTAGAAATATTATCTATAATTTCATGGTCATTTTTCTTTTTTTTTCACCCACCCTCTATTCATTTAGATTTCCCAGAAAAGTGTCTGGCCTCTGGCCTCTGCTCTCAATTTCAAATCGAATTTAAGCTATCCTTTTAGAATTACAATTTGGATTTTATTGTTTTGTAATTAAGTGTTTTGTCGAATGAAAGCTGATAAAGCGTTAAATTACTTTGTTTCACAAATAAAAAGTTGTTATTCAGACAAAAGAAAGATTTAAGATTTGTTTCTGTTTCTGTTTTTTAAGAATATTGTCGGTTGAAAGTACTTTGTTCTTGCTTTTGTAATTTAAAGTTTAAGTAAATTTAAAAAAGAAAAGGAAAAAACACACACACATATGCCGGCACACACATACAACCATATGAAGTGTGTTAACAAAAAATTCCTGCAAACTCTCAGCGAGAAGACGAAGAAAAACAACAGACAAAGGAGAATTGTTTTAATAAACACGTAAAACTAACCCAGAGGAGGGGGGAAGCAGAGTTGGAAAATTCTTTAGAACAAATAACAATATCTTTCAACTTTATTAATCTTCAACATCAGAGATGGGAGTCACACTGCGAGGGCGACAGCAGCATCATAATAACTGCCGAGTCCTTGGATAGTGGTGGTTGTTAACAACCTCCATATGCAGTGGGGGTCATATATGTAAGTCATATGTTTTTTTCTTAATATTTCTTTTTTTTTTGGCTTTTGATGCGATCCCATGCAGAACTTGGTAATATCCTGAATCAAAGATAAAAAAGTTAAACATCGTGAAAGTTTATAAAAAAATATATATTTTTTATTTATTTATTTTTTTTATTATTATTTTTTTATGAGTGATACTTTCTAAGAAATGTGCAAAACCAAGCTTACAAAAATAATTTCGGCTTTTTTCACTTTTCAAATTTAATTAATAAAGATTAAAAATGAGATTTTCGTGGAAAATAATATTTTTTAAATTAGTAATAAATAATTGAACTACTCGACAAAGGCCCAAACGACGATCTAATTTTGAAAAAGGCGGGGGTGAGACCCCAAAAACGGAGATTAATTTCGGTATTAAAAATGAGATGGAAGGCCCCCCCCCCCCAAATCATGGATAACTTGACATTTAGAGTTCTGAGTATGTATAATATTTATAAAAAAAATCCACGCCTGTGTATATTCTTTAAAAAAAAAATATTTATAAAAAAATCCACGCCTGTGGACAACCTTGAAAAAAATATTTATAAAAAAATCTTTGCCTGTGGACAACCGTGAAAACAATATTTATAAAAAAAATCCACGCCTGTGTAAACCCTTGAAAAAAATATTTATAAAAAAATCTTTGCCTGTGGACAACCGTGAAAACAATATTTAAAAAAAATCCACGCCTGTGGACAACCTTGAAAAAAATATTTATAAAAAATCCACGCCTATGGACACCCTTGAAAAAAATATTTATAAAAAATCCACGCCTATGGACACCCTTGAAAAAAATATTTATAAAAAAATCCAAGTTCATGATGATACTTGAAACACCCTTGAATAAATTTTTATAAAAAAAATCCACGCCTGTGGACAGACTTGAAAAAAATATTTATAAAAAAATCCACACCTGTGGACACCCTTGAAACAATATTTATAAAAAAATCCACACCTGTGGACAACCTTGAAAAAATATTTAAAAAAAAGTCCACAACTGTGGACACCCTTGAAAAAATATTTATAAAAAATCCACGCCTGTGGACACCTTGAAAAAAAATATTTATAAAACATCCACGCCAGTGTACACCCTTGAAAAAAAATATTTATAAAAAATCCACGCCTATGTACACCCTTAAAAAATATTTATAAAAAATCTACGCCTGTGGACTTGAAAATATTTTTTAAAAAAATCCACACTTGTGGACACCCTTGAAAAAATGTTCATAAAATAATCCACGTCTTTGTATACCCTTGAAAAAAATATTTATAAAAAAATCTTTGCCTGTGGACAACCGTGAAAACAATATTTATAAAAAAAATCCACGCCTGTGGACAACCTTGAAAAAAATATTTATAAAAAATCCACGCCTATGGACATCCTTGAAAAAAATATTTATAAAAAATCCACGCCTATGGACACCCTTGAAAAAAATATTTATAAAAAATCCACGCCTGTGTAAACCCTTCAAAAAATATGTTTAAAAAAACTCACACCTGTGTAAACTCTTGAAAAAATATTTATAAAAAAATCCACGCCTGTGGACACCCTTGAAAGATAATTTTCAAAAAAAAAAATCCAAGCTCATGGTGATACTTGAAACACCCTTGAAAAAAATATCCACGCCTGTGTAAACCCTTGAAAAAAATATTTATAAAAAATATCCACGCCTGTGTAAACCCTTGAAAAAAATATTTATAAAAAATATCCACGCCTGTGTAAACCCTTGAAAAAAATATTTATAAAAAATATCCACGCCTGTGTAAACCCTTGAAAAAAATATTTATAAAAAATATCCACGCCTGTGTAAACCCTTGAAAAAAATATTTATAAAAAATATCCACGCCTGTGTAAACCCTTGAAAAAAATATTTGTAAAAAATATCCACGCCTGTGTAAACCCTTGAAAAAATATTTATAAAAAATTCATGCCTGTGTACACCCTTGAAAAAAATATTTATAAAAAATCCACGCCTGTGTACACCCTTGAAAAAAATATTTATAAAAAATCCACGCCTGTGTAAACCCTTGAAAAAATATTTATAAAAAATCCACGCCTGTGTACATCCTTGAAAAAAATATTTATTAAGAAATCCACGCCTGTGTACACCCATGAAAAAAAATATTTATAAAAAAATCCACGCCTGTGGACACCCTTGAAAAAATATTAATAAAAAATCCACGCCTGTGTAAACCCTTGAAAAAATTATTTATAAAAAAATCCACGCCTGTGAATGTTCTTGAAAAAATATTTTTAAAAAAATCCAAGCTCATGGTGATACTTGAAACTCCCTTGAAAAAAAATATTTATAAAAATTCCAGACCTGTGGACACCCTTGAAAAAAATATTTATAAAAAAATCCACACCTGTGAACACCCTTGAAATAATATTTATAACAAAATCCACGCCTGTGTACACCCTTGAAAAAATATTTTTAAAAAAATTCACGCCTGTGAACACCCTTGAAAAAAATATTTATAAAAAATCCACGCCTGTGTACATCCTTGAAAAATAATTTTCCAAAAAAAGCCATGCTCATGGTGACACTTGAAACAGCCTTGAAAAAAAAATATTTATAAAAAAAATACTCGCATGTGGACACCATTGAAAAATAATTTTCAAAAAAAAATCCAAGCTCATGGTTATACTTGTAACACTCTTGAAAAAAATATTTATTAAAAAATCCACGCCTGTGCACACCCTTGAAAAAAATATTTATAAAAAAAAATCAAGCTCATGGTGATACTTGAAACACCCTTGAAAAAATATTTATAAAAAATCCGAGCCTGTGGACACCCTTGAAAAATAATTTTCAAAAAAATCCAAGTTCATGGTGATACTTAAAACAACCTTAAAAAATATTTATAAAAAGTCCACGCCTGTGTACATCCTTGAAAAAAAATTTTCCAAAAAAAACCAAGCTCATGGTGATATTTGAAAATATTTTTTTAAAAAAATAAACTCCTATGGACACCCTTGAAAAAAATATTTATCAAAAAATCCACGCCTGTGGACACCCTTGAAAAAAATATTTATAAAAAAATCCACGCCTGTGGACACCCTTGAAAAAAATATTTATAAAAAAATCCACACCTGTGGACACCCTTGAAAAAAATATTTATAAAAAAAATCCAAGCCTGTGGACAACCTTGAAAAAAATATTTATAAAAAATCCACGTATATGGACACCCTTGAAAAATAATTTTAAAAAAACTCACGCCTGTGTAAACCCTTAAAAATATTTGTAAAAAAAACCCACGCCTGTGGACACCCTAGAAAAAATATTTATAAAAAATCCACGCCTGTGTAAACCCTTGAAAAAATATTTATAAAAAAATCCACACCTGTGAACACCCTTGAAATAATATTTATAACAAACTCCACGCCTGTGTACACCCTTGAAAAAATATTTTTAAAAAAATTCACGCCTGTGAACACCCTTGAAAAAAATATTTTTTTAAAAAATCCATGCCTGTGGACACCCTTGAAAAAAATATTTTTTTAAAAAATCCATGCCTGTGGACACCCTTAAAAAAATATTTATAAAAAATCCACGCTTGTGTAAACCCATGAAAAAAATATTTATAAAAAATCCACGCCTGTGTAAACCCTTGAAAAAAATGTTTATAAAAAATCCACGCCTGTGTAAACCCTTGAAAAAAATATTTATAAAAAATCCACGCCTGTGTACACCCTTGAAAAAAAACATTTATAAAAAATCCACGCCTGTGGACACCCTTGAAAAAATGTTTATAAAAAAATCCACGTCTGTGTAAACCCTTGAAAAAAATATTTATAAAAAAATCCACGCCTGTGGACATTCTTTAAAAAAAATATTTTTAAAAAATCCACGCATATGGCATAGCATGTTTAAAATCGGTAAGGGGTCTTTATTAAGCCTCCAAAAAATGAAAATTAAATTTTAAATTGAAAATTTTAATTTATTTCATTTTATTTTTAAAATAAAATTCATTTAAATTATTGTTATTGCCATTATTTGTATTTCGTGTAATTCTATTCCAGTACATTTTCCTCCCTTCCTCCTAACCTCGTTCACATCATGGCGTCCAGAGCACAGGTCATCATTTTGAAACTATACTCGCAAGGTTCATCGATAAATTCATTTTCAGCCTTACATTTGATGGCAGCATCCATGTGTTCCTGGGTAACACGTTCATCTTGTTCCAACTTGCTCAAATCCAACTTTCCGGTCTCATCCAAATAACCCATATCCTCGACCATACAGTGGGTGAAACATTTGAAACGTTCATCCAAGGTTTCGGGATCGAAGTCCTCACCTTTGGGTATGGCCTCGAATTCGTCTTCCGTGATATTGTTTTGCTCCATGCATTTCGTGGCCATTTCCTTGTATTCTTCGTATTCGGCCAGGGCCTAAAGAGAAAGGGAGGGATTTTATTTTGAAAAAAAAAAATTAAATTTGAGAATATAGAAATTGTTATGGCAAGAGCTATCAGTGGCTTCTTGGATGTCCCGGTCTCATGGAAATATTTTTGTAGTGGAAAACTAAAATTTTGAAAATTTTCCCTGTTCCGAAATTTCTTCTCCCCCCCCCCAAACTTACCCCACCCATAAGGACTACAGCACAAATGGATAAACACAAATAAAATTTCATGTTTGGTTTTTTTTTTTAATTTTTTTCCCTTTTGCTTCGACGATTTGTTGGCTGAACACCTTTCAACTGACACTCTATTGATGACTGGGATTGAATTTTTATACGAAATTGTTGGCCATATTCAAACTCAATTTGATGGCATGTTTAAAATCAATTATATTTGTTAGCTGTTTATTTTTAATTGATTTAGATTTGTTTTCATGTAAATTCTAATGAATGGAAATTTAAATTTAATTCGATTTTATTTATTAGCCACGTTTGATTTAATCGGCATGTTTTTGAAAGGTTTTTCATCATTTCATTAACAAATCAATTGCAGCGGTGTAAAACAAATGATTTGACGCCTGCGTCTAAAGGGGGCGGGGGGGGGGAGAGGAGGTTTCATCATATTGCTATATTGTCTGAAAGTTTGAATAAAATAATTAAAAAAATAAATAAATAAAATTATATCTTTAAAAATAATATAAACAGCAAGCTATATCTAAATGTTTCCCTTAGCCAGAAATCTAGCTCCATAAAAATTTTATTATTTAAATTTTTTAAATAAAAATCTAATATTAAAATTGGACATTCCTTCATTTCCTTTTGATGCAGTTGTCGTATACGTACTGTCAATAGTCATACGCCACCGAATTCCTTAAAATTTACACTTTTTCCTCCATTTTTGCATTTTTTTTAATGTATATATATATATATATATATATATATATATATATATATATATTTGTTTTCCTTTTTTAACATCCGAAATTTGATTCCCCCAATTCGATGTCACATCAAACATGACAAATTGCAAAAACAAATAGCGAACTGCAAAACATGATATTTGACAAATTTTTATCGCATGTCATGAATCACCAAAACTAATAACAATATTATTTGACAAAATATACATATTTTAACTAATTAAATTAGTAAAACAAAACGGCTAACATGAAATGTTAAAAAGTTAGACCATGAAAATGGAAAACAAGTCGTTGTCTTAATTTGTGAATTTTATTTTTGGGGGGCAAATATGATGACATTTGTGATAGTCAAATATTGAATAAGAATTTTCAAACTTAACTAATATAAGGTAATATTAAAAGAAAATTATAGGAAAAAATCAATTTTTGGGGTTCGGATACATTTTTGATGTGTTGTCTTTGGAAAAAAGTTAAGAAATCTGATACATCTTGTATTTGGGAATAATAAATTAAAATTTTTCTTAAAAAATCCACGCCTACAACAACTTAATTTTTTTTTCAAAAAACTTCGCCTACAGATACCTTTAATTTTATAAAAAAAATCCACGTCAGTTGATGTCCTTGCAAAAATATTTTTTGAACATACCTGTCCTCCTTAATTCCTTAAAAAAAATTAATTATTTTACAAGATATCTATAGGCTTGAATTTTTTAGCTATCCATGGGCGTGAATTTAAAAAAATTCAGAAAAAATGCATTATTAAAAAAATATTTTTTTAGAGACATTAATGGGGGTTAATTTTATAAAAAAATATTTTTTTTGCGGAGACACCAGTAGTCGTTAATTTTTTAAAAAATATTTTTTTAAAGACATCAATTGGCATTAATTTTGGAAATAACATTTTTTCAGAGACATTAATAAGCGTTAATTAAAAAAAATAATTTTTGGGACGTCAATGGGCGTTAAATTAAAAAAAAATATATATTTTTTCAGAAACTTCAATAGGCGTAGATTTTTAATAACATTTTTTTAAAGATATCGTTGATGTCCACGCCTATGGAGATATCAAAAAATAACTTTTTTAAAAATTCAAGACTATGGGTAATGTCGAAAAAATTTTCTTAAAAATTCCATGGGCGTGAATGTAAAATGAACGTAATGTCGAAAGAAATTTTTTACAAATGGGTAATATCGAAAAAGATTTTTTTTTAAGTCCACGCCCAGGGGTAATGTCGAAAAAGATTTTTTTTAATCCACGCCCAGGAGTAATGTCGAAAAATATTTTTTTAAAAATCTACGCAAATGGATAACCTTGAAAAATATTTTTTTTTAAAATCTACGCAAATGGATAACCTTGAAAAATATTTTTTTTTAAATCCACGCCCAGGAGTAATGTCGAAAAATATTTTTTTTTAAAAATCTACGCAAATGGATAACCTTGAAAAATATTTTTTTTAAAAATCTACGCAAATGGATAACCTTGAAAAATATATTTTTTTAAAAATCTACGCAAATGGATAACCTTGAAAAATATTTTTTTAAAAAATCCACGCCTATGGATAATCTCGAAAAATATTTATTTAAAAATTAATGCAAATGGATAAACTTGAAAAATATTTTTAAAAAATCCACGCCCATTGATAGCATTAAAAATATTTTTTAAAAAATCCACGCCCATTGATAGCATTAAAAATATTTTTTAAAAAATCCACGCCCATTGATAGCATTAAAAATATTTTTTAAAAAATCCACGCCCATTGATAGCATTAAAAATATTTTTTAAAAAATCCACGCCCATTGATAGCATTAAAAATATTTTTTAAAAAAATCCACGCCCATAGATCACCTTAAAACATATTTTTAAAAAATCCACATCAATGAATAACTTAGAAAAAATAATTGTTAAAAAATCCCCCCCATGGATAACATAAAAAATAGTTGTTGAAAAATCCACGCATATAGATATAACTGTTAATCCACTCTACATCAACAAGTCCATGGAAAAATATTTTTTAAAAAATCAACGCCCATGGGTAACCCAAAAAAATAATTGTTAAAAAATCCACGCATATGGATGAAAATATTTTCTAAATCCCTGAAAATTCCTGAGAATTCCTGAAAATATTTTCTTAATTCACTATTGTAGTTGTCCTTGAAAAAATATTTTTTTTTAAATCAACGCCCATGGATAACCTACAAAATAATTGTTAAACCAGTAAAGAATGTCTTAAAGTCGGGCGGAGTCGTTGTTACGGAGTGCATATTACGGCTGTGGGTAACAAATATGACAAATCGGATGAACAGTATGTATGGGAGCTATAGCTATATCTGAACCGATCTTCATCAAATTTGATATAATAGCTTCTAGACTTAATTCGGTCGTATGTGCCAAATTCCATCCCATTTGGACAAATATTAGACGTTTGGTGCACAATAAAAGGCAAATCGGACGAAGATATCTATGGGAGCTATATCCAATTCTGAACCGATTTCGATAAAATTTAGCAAATGTATTTCTGAGCTGCATTTGATATATTTCCCCAAATATTGTTGGTACAGAGCGCATATTACGGCTGCGGAGGACAAAAATAATAAATCGGATGAACAACATACATGAGAACTATAGCTATATCTTAACCGATTTCGATGAAATTTGGCATACTTATTTTCAGGCCTAATTTGGTTGTATGTGCCAAATTTCATCCCATTTGGGCAAATATTAGACGTTTGGTGCACAATCCAATGTAAATCGGACGAAGTTATATATGGGAGCTATATCCAATTCTGAACCGATTTCGATAAAATTTAGCAAATGTATTTCTGAGCTGCATTTGATATATTTCCCCAAATATTGTTGGTACAGAGCGCCTATTACGGCAGCGGAGGGCAAAAATAACAAATCGGAAGAACAACATACATGGAGCTATAGCTCTATCTTAACCGATTTCGATCAAATTTGGCATACTTATTTTCAGGCCTAATTTGGTTGTATGTGCAAAATTCCATACAATTCGGGCTGATATTACACGTTTGGTGCACAATAAAAGGCAAATCGGACGAAGATGTATATGGGAGCTATATCTAAATTTTTACCGATTATCTCCAATTTCAATAGGGTTCGTCCTTGGGCCAAACGAATGATTTTCATCTGGATAAGGCAATAAATGCGAACTGTACTTTGTTCACAAAAATACATGGACAGACGGACGGACGGAGAGACGGACAAACGGACATGCATAAATCGACTCAGAATGTGATTCTATGCAGATCATCAAAAGGAACTATGGGTCTATCTCGTTTCCTTTTGCCTGTTACAAACAAATGCACAAAGACATAATACCCTGATCACTTTGTCGTGTAGGGTATAAATATCGGAAATAGCATCAAATTTTAAAGAAAATTTAGATTGGTTCGAATTGGTCACCTTTGGCACGAGTTATGTCCTTCAAACGGCCAATGAAACCTTCGCACGGAGCCCGAATGTTGCTCTGCGGTAATTTGGCCCATTCCCGGTGAAACGCTTGCTTGAGGGGATCGACACTTTTGTATTTTTCCCTGCCAAACTTGCTTTCCAAAATACTCCAGACACAATAGTCCAACGGATTGGCATCCGGAAATTTTGGAGGCACTGGAAAAGAAGCCAGAAACCTCATTTTGTAACCATTCTTGGGTGGTGCGTGCTGAGTCCTCCTATTGGAATGTCCAGATCTCCAGCCAAAATGTTTGCGTGCTCACGACTTTAATATACCCTCCAGAATATTTTCGCGATAATATTCGGCATTTATTCTGATGCCACGGCTGTTATGGCGGCCCACACAATCACCATGGCCGACGCTTGAGTTCTGGTGGCAAACCGAAGGTGCACATTTACAGCTGAGCTCTTTAGCAAGTAAACACGAGCGGATTATTTTGTTTGTGTACTTGCTTCAGGTGATCGACACTTTGGTATTTTTTAGTACCAACCTTGCTTTCCAAAATATCCCAGACACAATAGTCCGGATACATTAGTATCCGCAGATTTTGCTGGCCATTGTGCTCTGGAAATGAAGCGAGGATCTTAATTTTGTAACTATTTTTGCGTGGCGCGTTCTGAGTGCGATGGTGCTGAGTCCTGTTCGAATGTCCAAGGTCTGCCGCCAAAATGTTCGCATATTCAAGGCTTTAATACACCCTCCAGAATATTTTCGCGTTAATATTCGGCATTTATTCTGATGCCACGGCTGTCATGGCGTTATGGCCCACACCATTACAATGGCCGGCGCTTGAGTTCTGGTGGCCAACCGAAGGTGCATATTTTCAGCTCTTTGGCAAGTAAACACGAGCGGATCATTTTGTTTGGTTACTTGCTTCAAGTGATCGACACTTTGGTATTTTTTTGTGCCAACCTTGCTTTCCAA